TCTGTGAAAACCATTTCGAGTCAACGCATCGAAGAGCTTCTGATGGTCGGTTTATAGTTGAGCTGCCCCTGAAATCGGATGTACCGTTGGGGGACTCGCGAATTTTCGCCGTTCAGAACCTGCTACGCCTCGAAAGACGACTCGCCCGCGACAACGACTTGCGTGTACGTTACAATGAGTTTATGCAGGAGCTCATTGATATGCGTCATATGGAGCCTGCGTCCAAAACTTCGAATCCAGTCTATTACATGCCGCATCATCCAGTCGTAAAAGAGTCAAGTGTTACGACATAACTGAGGGTCGTATTTAACGCATCTGCCAAAAGCGCTACCGGAAACTCGCTCAACGACGCGTTATTTGTCGGACCCCAGCTGCAGCAGGATTTATTTTCCATTTTGACACGTTTTCGTACTCATCGGTACGGTGTTACGGCTGACGTCGCAAAGATGTACCGTCAAGTCTGCGTCTCCCGAAACATATCGATTTACAACGGATCGTCTGGCGTCGTGACCCCTTACTACCGATACAAGACTACCACATGTTGCGCGTGACCTATGGAGTAGCAGGCGGCATCACACCTAGCTGTAAAGTCTCTTCAACAGACCGCAAGGTACTCGTCGAACAGTTGTCAAAAAGCCGTTTCTGTCATAGTAAACGACTTTTATATGTACGATCTGCTCACTGGTACATCGTGTAGAGAAGAACTTCAATCGCTGCAACAAAACGTTTCCGAGATACTTAAGGAAGGTGGTTTTGAACTAAGAAAGTGGGCGTCGGATTGCGCGAAACTAAATAAAACTATTTCGAACTCGTCCGAATCTATACCGCATTACATCGTCGATGGGAAAGATGTTCACGCCTTGGGCCTAATATGGAACACAGACGAAGACCATTTCACATTTGCAGTAAACCTGAAGAGACCGCCCGTTAATTTGACTAAAAGAGCGTTTTTGTCCGATGTCAGCACACTATTTGATCCTCTGGGACTACTTGCTCCAGCAACCATACGTTCTAAGATGTGGTTTCAGGACATTTGGCGTGCCAACGTTGGCTGGGATGACGTTATTCCTGACTCCGTCGCCATAAAGTGGTCGGAACATCGCTCAGAGATGCTTCTTCTTTCAAACTTTAAAGTAAATCGGTGGCTTGGCACCGGAATAACTGGTTCAGTTACGGAACTGCATGTGTTCGCCGACGCCTCAGAACGCGCTTACGCCGCCGTAATGTATGCGCGAACCTTACAAAAAGATGGCAGGGTGACAGTTTCGTTGATCTCGTCGAAAACAAAGGGGGCGCCGCTTAAATCAACGACTCTACCGCGTCTAGAATTATGCGCGGCGCACCTCGCTGCTAAATTGGTGCGGAACGTATTGCTTAGCTGGGACGAACTCCGCTACCCTTTGTATGCGTGGACCGACTCGACCATCACATTGGCGTGGATACAAGCGCATCCCAGCAGATGGATGACCTTCATTGCGAACCGCGTAGCTGATATCCAGGAGGTTCTGCCTCCTGATTGTTGGAACCATGTCCACTCAGAACAAAATCCTGCAGATTGTGCTTCAAGGGGTATCAGTCCGTCCGAACTACTCCATCATAAGCTGTGGTGGACTGGCCCTGAGTTTTTGGTAGGCGCTGACCTATTCTGGAAGCAGACGTCATCGAAGAATCATACAACTGATTGGGCGTTCGAAGCAAGGTTCACGCTCATGTAACAAGTTTGAAGGATCAATGGTCAATAATGACGAAATATTCGTCGTACTCCAAGTTGCGGCGCATCATCGCTTACGTGTTACGTTTTTTCTTCAACGCTCGAGTTAGCACTATGCACAACGCTAGAAAGCGTCTTGGTCCTCCGAGTTTCCAGGAGATAACTGAGGCTGAATTCCGATTAATAAGGTATACGCAACAGTTTTCTTTTTCTAATGAAATTTCTAATTGCAGCGCAAAGAGGCCAATTCCACTTCGCAGTAGTGTTTTGCGTTTGCAGCCGTATCTCGACAAGAAAGATGTCCTGCGCGTTGGAGGCAGATTGAGAAATGCTACGGTTACTCCTGACGTAAGGAATCCTATCATCTTGCCAAAGAACTGTCTCGGATATCCACAAGTTTACGCTGCACGCTGGACCCCGCATTATGCAAGTTGTGTTGCAACGTCGATTTTGGGTTGTTGGAGCTCGAAGTCTAATACGCGCCGTATACCACAAGTGCGTGAAATGCATCTGCATGAATCGCAACCTCGCCACGCAAATGATGGGGGATTTACCTGCGACTCGAACTACTTACGCACGTTGTTTCACCCGTACCGCTGTTGATTTTGCTGGGCCGTACTTGTATAAGTTTACCCACGGAAGAGGAGCGAAGGCCACCAAAGGATACATTTGTTTCTTTGTTTGTATGTGCACCGTCGCAATGCATCTGGAGTTTGTTGGAGATCTGTCCACATCAGCATTCCTTAACGCATTCAAGATATTCGTCAATCGTAGAGGCTACTGTAAGATTATGACATCGGATAACGGTACGAATTTTGTTGGTGCCGAAAGGGAGCTTCGAGTCGCGTTTCAACAGTGTATGGCTGACACCAAACCACGTAATTTTTTTACCGATTCGAATATCGAGTGGCGTTTTAACCCTCCTTCAGCACCTCATATGGGCGGGTACTGGGAAGCCGGTATCAAGCGCATTAAGTACCACCTAAAACGCGTACTGGGTGAAAATCTGCTATCATACGAAGAGTTCAACACGCTGTTGACAGAAGTGGAGGCCTGCGTCAACTCCCGCCCTCTCTGTGATAACCCTACGGACGCTGGCGACATAGAAGCTCTAACTCCCGGCCATTTTATTGTTGGAGAGCCACTGAAGTCAATCCCAGAACCTGAGGGTCAAGGGTTCTGTGGAGATCTTCGACAACGTTGGCAAGCAATTTCGGCCATGAGGCGACATTTCTGGCGCCGATGGGAAGACGAATACCTCGTGAGTCTACAACGTCGCACTAAATGGTTCTGTTCCTCACGTAACATTGAAGAAGGTGATGTAGTCGTTGTCTTCAGCGAGCCTACTCCTCCGACAAAGTGGTCGCTTGCGCGAGTTAAGAAATGCCACCCTGGTAATGATGGGCACGTAAGAGTAGTCACTTTACAAACGCCGCATGGAGAGTTGGTTCGTCCTATAGCGAAACTCTGTCTCCTTCCTACGAAAGGCGATATATTTCATGATGGAAATTAGTATTATATATATGCATAAGTGCCATTTAGAACCTCCACTATTGTAAGCTTGTGCATAATACTTTGATGTTTAATTTTTTTTTTTTTAATTAAACGTATCAAGATAGATCAAGGGCGGCGGAAATGTTGGGTTCATTTATGCTTTCTCTTATATTTTAATCGCACATATTAATGTAAGGGTTAAGTATCAACAGACTGTGCATAAGTGTTAACGATTTTGACATTTTATACTCTTTTGTATTTCTCTCTTGAGTTTTTTGCGCGTTTTAATTTGTTATTTCTTTAGCTATTATCGCGGTTGGCGAAAATCCTCCTAGATATATCCTCCAAGCGGTTGCCGACTGGGCAATGGGCATCGTTGCTTACACCGCTGTGGCAAGGTAGGCTTGTTCCTATGGCTGCAGTGGTGCAAGCAGGCGGAGCCTAGCCAAGGCCGAGGTATAAACTCCCCTGCCTCATCTAGGTCTAGTGGTAGGCCGTACGGGCTCGTCCGAGGGGGGCTGGGGTGGGCATACTTAGGCTATTTCTAGGGGGTACCTGGCGGTAGGTATAAAACGCCCCCCTAATCCAGGGTGTCATGCGTCACCGTGCCCATTGGATGGTTTGCAGTCAGGGGGTTTTCCGACTGTATTCTAACGGCGCCTCCCGGATACCTGTCCGCCTCCGGGAGTAACGGTGGACTTACCTCAGCATGGGGCTCTGCTGAGGCCGACCGTTTTTCCCCTTACCCATATATTCGGTCGCCGAACGGTTTCGGCTCAGTAGGCGACCAACGAACCAGAAATAATGAACTCGAAAAATGTAGCCCCGGATCCCTGCACGGGTAAAAATGCCGCCGACGGACACGGCGTTAAAGTCTGTCTAAAAACGACATCTTCGGTAGCCGCTGGAGCGGTCCCGAAGGAGCCTAAACGGCTAACAGTACTAAATGTTGCGCCCGGCGTCAGTAGCAACAAACCCCTGGTGGGTAGTGGTCAACTGGCGTCTGGGTTGCAAGCGGAGCCTGCACGGCCAATTGACCTCTCGTGCCAGTCGTCCACATCTCTGGAAGCTGCGAGTACACCCCTTGAGGGCAGCTCCAAAGCGGCGCCGGGAGAAGGCGATACTGGCACCCGGAAGTCCTGCACGGACAGCACCACCGACCGCAAGCCCCTTGAGGGTAGGAAGTCGGATCAACGCAAAGGCGTCCCAGGTCCCAGTGGTTCGAGGACCAAAAAAGAAGTCCGACCAGCAGTCAGGGCGAAGAGGGACAGAAGAGCCGCTTCTAGACTACTGAGGAAGTTCGGCAATGACCCGGTTCCCGAGAGTATGAGGGAAGTGGTTGAGAGGGCGAGGGGCGTTCTCTCCGAAAGTCGTGAGCGACCTCAGGAAGGAAATGCCGCCAACAAACCTGCACCCACTCACTCTCGTCCTAGGGAGCTGGGCAGCAAAAGGCAACGGTCAGCAGACAACGTGGATGCTGCTCCTAAGAGGCCCAAAACCTCTAACGCTAACAGCCCTCTTAACCCTCCAAGGGCTCTGAGGGCTTTCAGTGATGTGGCCAAGGACCACTTGATCCTGGCAGTTATGGATAGGGGGCACCCGGAAGGAAACCTGACGGCCGACAACTGGAGGTCCGTCCTGGTGGGTCTCTGCCGGGTGTACAAGGAGATTCTCCGGAAAAATCCTGGCCCTGCGCCAACTGTCCGCGATGCTGGTCTCTACCAAGGCCGCATCAAATTAGTTTCCTGCGCTGATGAACGGTCGGCGCGACTTTATAAGGAAGCAATTTCTTCTCTTGGGGAACTGTGGCCCAGCGCTGACTTGGTGGCAGTGCACAGGGATGAAATCCCTTGTAAGCCGCGAGCCAGAGCCTGGGTCCCAGAGGAACCCTCGAGTCCTGAGGAGATTCTGGATATCATCCAGGTCTCAAATGATGCACTACCAGCCCTTGATTGGAAAGTAGTGAAGGTCAGCGAGGCTAGGGAGCAGCAACGTTACATCACCTTGGTGATAAACGAGGAGTCTCTCCCGATCCTTGCTGACTGCAAGGGAGTAATTAGCTACGGCTTTTACTCCATTACCCTCAAAACCCAAAAAGGGAATGAGGGTAAAATGATAGAGCCGGGGAACACCGAGGGTGAACCCGACGCTGGCAATCTTCCGCCTAAAGGCGGCCCTATATCTGGAGCAGAAAACGCCTTGAGCGGTCCTGCTTCTAACCAAGAGGTCCAGGAGGTTCTCGAGGCCTCTTGCCCGGTGGTGAGGTCAGACTCGGCAGCGGAAACAGATAGCGATACGCAATCTGTTTCTGGTGACGGATCGGTACTTAACCGGTGGACGAGGGAGTTCGGGAACCTGCTTCTGACGTCGGACTCAGAGGACGCCGATGATACCATCGTTGAGGCGTTCGATAGAACCCCGCCAGAAGTGATGGACGGGGACGATATTTTATAAGCTGTGGATGAAGGTTCTACAAATAAACCTTCATCACTCTAAAGCAGCTTCTGCAGCTCTGCTCCTGCACCTCAGTGATAGAGGGGAGGAGCTAGTTTTTGTCCAGGAGCCCTGGGTTGTTAAGCACAGGGTTTGTGGACTTAATTCTGATGCTTACCGCATAGTGTCGGCACCTGTGGCAGGTAAGATCAGGGCATGTATATTAATCAAAAAAAGTATTTCTTATAATTTACTCACACAGTTCAGCGATGAAGATACGGTGAGCATCTCTGTGGAAAGCCAATCCACAACACTCTGGCTGGTCAGTACATACATGGCCTACGATCGCCAAGACTGCCCTCCCGCTCGGTTACTGGACGTGGTGAAAGAGGCCAACTCGAGGAAGTTTCCCATAGTCATAGGAGCCGATGCAAATGCGCATCACGCGGTATGGGGATCTACCGACATCAACCCGAGGGGTGAGTTGTTACTTGATTTTATATTATTATATAATCTAGCCATCTGTAATATTGGTGATAAACCCACTTTTGTAACCTCAAATAGGAAGGAGGTATTAGATATTACCTTATCGTCTAGCGCTTTCTTTGAGAGTATTAGGGAGTGGAAGGTACTGAGCGACCATTCATTCTCTGATCACATGTATCTCTCATTTGTAATCTCCTTTGAACTTCCGGCCTCGGAAGCTTACAGAAACAAGAGACGTACTGACTGGACTAAGTTTAGGAAAGTACTCTCGGGGAATTTGCTCAACAAGGCTTCTCTCAGTAAGCTAGGCTTACTGTCCCCACCTGATGAAGCGGAGCTTTCTCTCGCAAACCTTGCTTCTCTCGGTGAGTTAGGCTCATCGGAACAAATTGAAGAAGCCGTTGATTGCATTACCGAAGCCTGTAATTCGGCCTTATCTGCTTCCTGCCCACTTGTACTTCCGAGAGGAAAGAAGAAGCCACACTGGTGGAGCAAAGAAATCGCCTCTCTAAGGAAGGAAAGCAGGATACTCTTTAATGCGGCAAAGCGCGATGGCTCTTGGGCTGCATATAAGGCAGCCCTGAAGAAATTTAAAAATGCCACCAGGAAAGCCCAAAGGGACTCCTGGAAGGATTACTGCGATAGCATAGAGGGTCAGTCGGAGGGAAATCGCCTGCGAAAGGTGCTTGCGAAAAGTCCGACGAACGCGATGTATATTCAGAAACCAAATGGTGACTGGACGTCATCTCGTGAGGAAATGCTTGAAGTCCTAATGAACGCGCATTTTCCAGGATGTACTGCGGAGCCCAACACCGCGGCTATTATCTCTGAACGGCCGTTGACTTCAGCGGACTTCATTGATGTACAAAGGGTAGACTGGGCCATAAAGTCCTTCCAGCCCTACAAATCTCCAGGTATGGATGGTATCTTCCCTGCCCAACTTCAGTCAGCATCTGACGTGTTATGTCCGATACTTGTCTTAATCTATAAGGCTTGTATCAAGCTTAGTTTCATACCCAAGGGTTGGACCCTGGCGAAAGTTGTTTTTATTCCCAAGGGAGGTAGACCCTCCCACGTTAAACCAAGTGACTTTCGACCGATAAGCCTTACTTCTTTCTTTCTCAAGGTTCTGGAAAGACTTGTAGACTTGCAGATCCGACAGGAAATTGATGTAAATAATCTCTCTAGCTGTCAACACGCCTACTGGAAAGGTAGATCTGTGGATACAGCTTTGCATAGTATTGTCAGCACCATTGAAAAGACTCTCGCTTTTAAGGAATTTGCACTAGGCGTGTTCCTGGACATCGAGGGTGCCTTCAATAATGTTCTCCCGGGAGCGGTCCTTCAAGCCCTAGCTCGCCTTGGGCTGGATCACCCTATGGTTGAGTTTGTTCGTCGCCTCTTAGGCAGTAGAACTATTTACTCGGAGATGGGGGAGGTATCTATAACAAGATATGCGAGTCGCGGAACCCCACAAGGCGGTGTTCTCTCCCCACTTCTTTGGAATCTAACTGTGGATACCCTGCTGTCACGGTTGCAAGGCACAGGTTGCCAAGTCATTGCTTACGCGGATTATCTTGCCCTGACGGCAATTGGTAAGCACCCCCAAGTTCTATGTGACTTAGTTCAAGGCGCCTTACGCGTCGTGGATACCTGGTCCAAAGAAGTAGGACTTAGTGTCAATCCGGCAAAAACGGCCATGGTTCTGTTTTCAAAGAAAACGAAAGCTGTCCGGCTACAACCTCCTTCCTTGAACGGTATCGTACTGACTTTCTCGGAGGAGGTTAGATATCTGGGCGTTATTCTTGACAGAAAGTTAACTTGGCGGCGCAATATAGAAGAGCGCTGCAAGAAAGCTATAACTGCTATGTATGCCTGTAAATCGGCGATTGGGAAAAAATGGGGATTGAAGCCTCATATTGTGAACTGGATGTACACAGCGGTTGTGCGTCCCATTCTATTCTACGGCATAACGGTTTGGTGGCCGTCCGTAGATAAATCTACAATAAGAAACAAATTAACAGCGGTCCAAAGGGTGGCGTGCATGATGATCACGGGAGCGTTACCATCGACGCCGACTAAAGCCCTAGAGACCTTGCT